GGCTGACAACGTTTTACTAACACACAAGGGTGGGGTTGTGTTGCAAGCCTATTTCATTATATCTCTCTTTGTGTACCACTCTTTTTTACAACCAAGTAAACAGGAGTTACCACTGACTCCCTCCTCCCACTTTGAAGACAGTCTCCACCTGTTCACTGGGGCTGTGGTGCAGAGCTTTTGCCTCTCCTACTGTTTAAGGGTTTTTCTAAAAATAACATCTGGGGAGGGCTGAATCGCCAGCAGGCAGGGGAAACAAGGGAGCGGAGGGAAATTGGCTGCTTGTGTATTTTATCCGACCATGAGGGAATGTTAGTCGGTAGAGTTGTTGACTCTCATTTTCCCTGCCCGCTTCAGTTTGTCATGGCTGTGTACAAAGTGAGGGGAACTATATATTTAGCAGCCATGATTCATACTCAACAGATTGCGCGGGTACAGAACACAGCGTTAGAGTCCAATACAGCGTTAGCATTTGCATTTGTCGAAAATCATTCAGATTCCTCGCATGCCTTGGCAGCTGTTGGATTTACTAAGTGTGCCAATTCCCAAGGGTTTGCATGGCTTATGTGTCACTTAATTACATATACATAATAACATGTTTCTTTGTTTCTTTTCTGCTATGTAGTCAAAGTTTAATCACCAAGGTCATCAATTAATTGCAGCCATGAAAGAGATGTGTTGTGTTTCCCAAGCTATTGATAGTGATGTCCTTTCAAGGAATCGTCAGTGTGCTACTGCCTCAAATTAGTTGATTAAGGCATTTTCTAAAGCATTCTTTGGTGTCTTTATTAAAGGGGCCCTATAATGTTCATTGTCAGGTTCATATTTGTATGTTGTGCCTTAACTTTGACATGATTACATGCTTAAATGTTCAAACGGTCTTTATTTTTCTCATACTGCCTGTGATGCAGCACCTCTTTTCACCCTCTGTCTGAAACCAGAGCCCAGTCTGCTCTAATTGGTTAGCTGGCCTGCTCTGTTGGGATTGCTCATCCGCTTAGAGATATCACGTACAATGTGTTGGAATGCTAGCCAATAGAAGTGCGAGTGTAACATAGTGATGTCACTATGTTATGGAAGTAAACAAAGGAGTCCAATGGAGGCGTTTCAGTCAGGAAGGGAGTGTGTGGGAAAGAGGTAACTTTATGATTTTAGCCTTTGCAGACCATTAACATGCACAAAAACACTAGCATAATAAGGCCCCTATAAAAGTGAGTAAGGACAGAAAGAAATCTTATGAAGATAACATGGTGGATAAAGTCCTTTTTTAAATAGCCAATTTCAATCATTTCTACAGTCCTCGAGACGCTTTATTTCCGAGATAAGTTACTTAGCAGGTGGTTTATCACAGTTGTAATGTCACGTAGAGATGTCAAACATGGAGCTGCTGAGAGGTGAAAGTCAACCTTTCTAGAAGACTTTGAAGTGAACATCCAACAAGGACCAAAGCACACACTGAAATCTGCGGTTCTCTTTTCTGTTGTGTTTTCATGAGACAATGTGCTGGGCCATGACTCGCCTCAGACGTAGCTTTTGTCACGCATTTCCTTCTGAAGTTGCACAGATAGGCATGACTTCTTGTGACTGTTTACATCCCAGATTGGTGAGAGGCAGCCTTTGTTTTTCCCTGCCACACAGCCGCTCCTTTCAGTGTCTGAGCGAGTCACACAGCTCCTCTCACAGCTGACCCCATGTCATTGTAATGCAGCCCCATTAATGAGACACGTAAAATGTCCTTTATGGGAACAGTAAAACAGCTTACACTGTGCCCACTGTTGTTTTACTTGGTTGAACAACAAATTGGATAACTAGCAACCTCGTCTGTCCTCTGTCAGAAATCTTTCCACAGAGCTGTTGGGCACAGATAGCTGCTTTACTTGATCTAAATAGGCATCGGCCACAGGTTCATCTCTTCACGCACCTCTTCATCTCTAGATTCTGCCATTTTGAACACATTGCGTCATGTCTCAATGCGTGACGTGCAACGTGTCACAGTTATGGTCAAAAACAAAGACTGTGCATCAGGACAGGAAAAATGACAGTTGGAATGTGTTGACGGAAACAACATGCTAAAATGAAAATTCCAATGAAACGGGCTCGGATTTGTGGACTTAAGAAGATGCCTTCTTCTATAGAAGCAGGGCTTATTCAGAGACAACAGATGCTCCTAGTTTCCTGTGGAGTGGGATGAAACCGGAGCTTTTGTTACTGAAGATGCCTCAGTGCTGAGCTGCAGTGTGTTTCTTAAGTGTGAATAAAATGTACATTTCTTGCGCCACCAACCATGGTGAGGTTTAATTTTAGACCAATCACTGGTTCACCATGTGCATACAACCCTGCAGCTGCTAATGCATATCTTTTATTCTCTTTCTGTCCTTCTAGTTCACTGTCACTCTCTCCTACTCTCAATCGATATTATTCTTGAGTTGTAGGCATTCTAGCCTTATCTGCCTTTAAGCTTGCACTATTTTGACTGTTTACAGCAAGCCCGTCAAGCTCCAGAAAAAGCACTTCACAGTTCTTTGCAATCCTGCAGCTAACTAAGCAGATCAACACCTCCGCTGTTTACAAAACGAGTCCTGATCCAGGCAGTCTGCCACACTGGCGTGACCTGCAATTAAACACAGACTCAGTGGATTATATTTCATAACAGGAAAAGCATGGAAACACAGTTATGACGTATTGCCTCTAAATAGCAACTCAAACGCAATCATCCACAATCCACAGCCCCAGTTTCTATTGTCCCACTGAAAGTAATCATCCTGCCAAGGTTTTCATTTGGATGCTGAATAATTGATTCGGCACACGCCCACAGTTTGTGCAGCCATTGCGTTCCTTCACATCACAAATCCTACCCAAGATTTCATAGTGCATCGGGTTATTTGATGCACTAGCTGGGTAGAGTCGACAGAATCTATAACTATTCTAATAACTCCGAGATAACGCCACAATATTGAATGAACGGTAATAAATCTGGATATGACTATTGGTTCTATTTTGAGAAAATACACAAAAGAATATTGAGAAAGTAGCCCAAGCACAGTTAGACCCAATTCTGACAGATTGCATGATAATTAGACATAATCTCAACTTCAGTCACCCTGAAGTGAGTAGAAGCAGGCGGCAGCATGATTAGCTATTCACTAACAAGCAGCAATATTATATTAATAATGCCCGAAGAACAAATGTAAAGCCATAGAAACCAATTCCAATTATATGCTTCGAAAACCTGATTCAGAAATAATTGGAAGTCCTATTTTAAGCTCCCGCACCAAATATAATAATAGCTTTTTTATAGGATACAAGTCTTTTTTTAAGAGGCCCTATTATGTCTTTTGGGGTTTTCCCTTTCCTGTAGTGGGTTTTATAGGTTTGTGTGCATGTTAATGGTCTGCAAAGGCTCAAATCCCAATCATCAATATGTAACACATCGTGCTAATAATGGCTAGCGCTCCTATGCACGTTCTTTTTCTGTGGATTATACATGATCAGAGCCTTACAAATGTGCACTGAAAATGTTAAAACCAAAAAAAGAGGATATTTAAACGACAGGAACATACAGAAGGATTGGTCGTGTCTCAACTCATTTGACAACATCCGTAGTAAATCCATATATTTGTAAGACCATCCCAGCAGTATCGTCCTCAGTACAGTGATATCTACACCTGAAGCAGCTCTGATTACCCCTCCCCTCTCGATTTCTGACAGGCAGTCCTGAGCCCCAGAAATAGCAACACTCGTGTATGACTCATGTTGGAGCTATCCGAGATGCCTGATGAGAAAGACAATAACAAAGGGACTCATTAGTCTTGTGCATCACCACCTTCAAAAGAAAAACGTTTAAGTGAGACATCTGAGGCCACGGGTTCAACATATGTCCAACATAAATCCTTCACCTCAACTCAAATACCTCCTCCGATCAAATCCTTCCTTGGCCCCCACACCCTACACCTCTAATCAACTGTCTTGTACATTATTTTTCAAGACCCCTCGCACATGCTCCTTGTTTTCAGCCCTGAGTCAAAGACCAGGATCTCCAGACCTTCTCCCTTCCCAAGAGTCCGATTCCAGTCTCTTTCATCTCCCATCCTATATTTTGCTTCTGGCTTTCATCTAGTTGCTTCGATATTCCATCCACCCTCTTGCCTTCATCTCCATGCATTCTCCCAGCCTCGCCCAGCCCCCCAACTTCTTCATTCACCTTCCTCCATCGTCATCTGTCAACATCCACCCTGTTTAAGTTATCCTCTGTCCCCCACAAAGCCCATTATTTCCCATATTTATTTTACTCTCAGATTAAAATATGAATGCTATGACCTCGTAGATTCTCCCAACTATCTATCCTGGACCTTTGTTCTCCGCCCCTTCTCCTGCCTTCGTTCCCTTTTAAGTCCTTCCTTCAAAAGTAGTTCATTCTGAGTTTCTTGATGCCTAAACAATTAGAGCTACCACTCCAACTCCACATCTCCACCCTCTACTACCCAATACTACTTTCCCCCATTAGCCAACCAACACATAGAACTGAACCCTCCATTCGCCCCCCCTTTCCTGCTTCTCAGTTATTAGCTTTAGCACCCCCCCCGCTTCCCAATTGAATCCGTCCTCCTCCTCCTCCTCTCGGGCTGGCTTCCAGAGCGGCTGTGCCCTGATGGAGGTCAGCCTTGTCTCTGTCTGCCGTGAGAGACAACAGGGGGAGGAAGGCAAGGTGAACGGCTCTCAACGCCTGTCATTGCGCTGTAAGGAGGAAGCAGGGGGAGAGAGAGGAGGACTGTGTGATGTAGGGAGAGCGAGGGCAGCAGGGTAGGAGCAGAGCGAGAGAGAGGGAGAGCAAGGGAGAGAGAAATTGGTCCAGCGCACACAGCTCACATCGCTGGCTGGCTGGCTGGCTCGCACACTGTTGACGAATGAGCTGTCTACCCACGGGGCTGGGAAACGGCAGCTTGTGACAAGCTGGGGAGAGAGGAACATGAATGTAATGCGTACCTTGCCTCGCTTGCTTTCAGATACCGGCCAGAAGAAGACTCCAGAGAAGAAGGATGGGAGGCGCATGTCGTTCCAGAGACCCAAAGGGTCCATTGAATATTCTGTGAGTACGGCGCAAGCCACTAAGCTGTTTCTGTGTAATTGTCTTCATGTGTTTTTAATGCTTTTCTGCTACTGTGCTGCTGCTGCTGGTGTAGCTTCTGTGTCAGGTGCTGCTGCTGGTGTTTCTCTAGCTCCAGTAATAGTCTAGCTGTTGTTGTTGTGAAGACACCGTGTCCGACCATGCTTGGTAGCTCATTAGCGAGGGGGAGAAGCATTTTGTGGATTTTGCCAGTCTAACACGTGTACCTCTTCCTCCCAGTGTTTACATGAAGAGGACCCTGTGTTTGTGTGCATGCAAGGTAGTTCATAGAAAGCTTATGGAAATAATGCATCCTCTCTTCAAGAGATACTGTGCATTAGTATAAGACTCAGCTCCATTTAGCATGTTAACGTATAAGAAGGAGAGAGGAACTGTAGCAGCTCCGTATGTTTCCTCACGCTGGATCAGATCAGGACAGACAGGCAGGAGTGCTGGCACAAAGTGTGTTTGTTTGCCTTTCGTTCTCTGAGCCACGTATCGGAGAGCATTCCACCACAGTGCTCGCCGTGCTCGCGAATGACCTTCCAACTGCGTTGTCATTTCTATTGATTTAGCTGTTGTGTTGGAGAAGGGGGGAACTGGGGTGAGGCGATTGAGAGGGAGAGAGAGAGAACGAGAGATAGGGCACTGGTTCCCTAGCGGGAGCTGAAAATGGAGCCTGTCTCTGCTTCGCCTGGTTGTGTTCTTCAAATGACCCTCAAATCCAGCTGCAGCAGTCAGACTGCTTTCCTTCGCCTCTCTCTCCCCGTGGCAACAGTGAGGAGTGGGATTGCTGTGGCTCATCTCTGTCTGTCTCTCTGTCAGTCTGTATGTCTGTCTGCTGGAAAGAGAGGTGAAGGGAGAGGGCAGAGGAAGCGACAGCAGGGATTGTCTCACTGAAATTCCACTCCTTTTATCCCAAACTCCAGGAAACACTGAAGGCTTCTCTGTTATCGCCTCAGCAACATAGACATCACCTCCACGTCCCCCGCCCCCCCCCAAGCTGTCAGTCATCCCAGACCTGCTGATTGACAAGGTTCTTGTTTACCTGACCTGGGCTTGAACAACCAAAACCGTTACCACAGGATATTTGTCAGAGCCAAAGCACTGTGTCATGGCCTTGATATGACCTGATACAGCAACAAGTCAGCAGGATGGACAGAAACGTTGAAGTTTAGGAAAAATAGGGAGGAATTTTATTGTTAAAAATGGGGAAAAGGTTCACATCTCAATCACACAGCATCCCATACTGTTCCTGTCAGCCATCATTCTTCCTCGCTCTTTCCTCCACTAGTTTGCTGCTAGTGTGATGGATGGATGGAGCACTGCCAATGACTGTGTCCTGTAGCCTGACATGCTGCAGCAACACGCAGCGAGGAGGCTTGAGGCCGTGAGAGAGACATGGTGGCCACTGTCCCAGTGATTGAGAAGTGGCTTTATCTTAAACTCATCTCCCATGCCAGGGGACGGCCGGCGATGTTTCCTTATTTCTCTCTCCAGCAGTTTTAATCTATCGCCCAGCGCCCACAGGAAAAAAAAAAATGCTTTACTTCTAACGCTGCCTTATCAATACAATCTCCCTCCTCCCTTCTCACCCCTCTACCACACACACAGGCTTCTTTCTCTCTCCCTTTTTTTTTCTTCTCGAAAATGAGAAATAACCTGAGCAGCTGCAACCCATCTGCCTAGACACTGATAACGCCAGTCCATTCAGCAGAGTCCAGCTATTGGCTGACCTGCATCCAATTAAAGAAGTGTTTGAAGACTGTGGGAACAACGGAGATAGATGAGGAGACAGAAAGATGCAGACAGAGAGAGCCAAAGAGCGGCACAGAGGTGAGCCACGGCCTCCCACTGACAGACTGAGAGGACGGACAATCAAAGTCAAACTAAATGAAGAACTGAGAGTGAAGGCCACACAGGTTTATCTACAAACCAGGGACAGAGACACTTCAGTTGTAACTCTGGGGATCCACAGGGTGTTTTGACTAGAAGATACCTTTCAAGGGAATATCCGGTCTATTCAAACTTGTTAGTTTCTAAGCTTTAGCAACTTAGTGACCGATTTTCGTGAGGTTCTGGATTCTGTAGGACATTATTATTTTCTGTTTCATAGCTTGGGCTATCATTTTGATAGGTCTTATTTAAGGCCTGGTCTTAGTGGCCCTGGGGTTGGAAGACACTGACCATATAATGTCAGAATCCCCAGCCACCTCTCTACTGCTTGCTATATAACAAGGCATCTACTCTATGCCCACGAGTAACAGTCAGTTTGTTTTTATATCCAATGGCCAGAACCAGAAAGATGACCTCTACATCGAAAAAATTGAATTGTTCCTATATGTTATTTCTAGGGCTGACGTGATAATAATAATAGATGAAATTTGTATAGCGCCTTTCACGGGACCCAAGGCCGCTTTACATGGTGAACAAACAAACAAACAAAAGGGGCAAATAATAAAGTAAAAAATTAATTAAATAGCAGTAGGATAACGTAATGATAACGTATTCTTTTAATTATTACATTGAATAATAATTTAATCAAGATAAAAAAAATGTATGCTTCATTAAAAAGCAATATTAAAAATGCAAATAAAGAAAATACGGCAGATCAACAAATTGGTTTCCTTTTGAAGGAAAACCTTTTTATCTTAGTAAAGTTGTGTCAATTTGTGTCAAAACTTAACACATTTAGTGCAATTAAGTGCCATTTGACATTCCAGACTTTTCAAGGCTTCAGACTGCCATTTCACAAATGTCCCGATGTCAACCATAAAAAAGCCTCATGCAGAGAATTATGTCTCGATGGTTTTAAAAAATCTAATTTCTCAGGGAATTATTTCAGCCCTGTTTGAGTCATGTTTAATTTTTGGCTCGACCCTCCCTACCCACAGTCTGTTTTCAGTCCTTTGCAGTGCTCTCAGCAGAACTGGCACGGCAAAGCTCTCATTACAATTTGTATAGTCAAACAAGAGTGCCGATTTAGGGGAAAGGCTGTCCTGTTGAAGGCCTGAAAGAAAAGAAGAGGTTGTCAGCATTCATGATGTTATCGTTCTGGCCCACAACATGATCAGTCAGATTGCATTATCAACTATGCGTGTTCTCGCAAGTTGTGGTAAAACAGTGGCCATGGCACTCAGTCAATTGCCGTAAACTGCATATTCACTATGACAACATGTAGGTTGGGATATCAACCACCAGATTCATGGCGATTACATTTTTTAAAGCCATTCATGATGTCCAGAGGATGAACCCTAATGACTTTGGGAATCCACTGACTTCCTGTAGCGCCACCAGCAGGTCAAGGCTGTCACTTGTCTTGTGATATGTCTAATTTCCTACCGGATAGATCTATTTACACATTCATGGTTCCCAGAGGATGAACCTTGAAGACTTTAGTGAGCCCCATTGACAGTTCTTTTAGCAAAACCCTCAGGATGGCATTTGTTTTCTTTCATGTCAATTACATTTAAATGGATCGGATAATTTGGTACAGAGATCAAAACATTCATTAGGATGAATTGTAATAAATTACTGCCGATAATGTCTCATGAAGTGCCATCATCACAACACATTACTGTATGATGCAAAAACTTGCAAAACCAAGGGTATTACCGCCAGCTTTATTTTATGGTAATCAGCAAATGTTGGTGAACATGCAAACCTACAGTACTTAACACCAGCATGTTAGCAGTGTCATTTCAAGCATGTTAGCATACTAAAATAATAAATTGCCTCCCAAGATAGCTGTGCCCAAGAACAGCCTCACAGCACGGCTAAAACCCCCCTGTGTGTGATATACACATGATCCGGATGTGTCATAATCTCAGCAGATGTGAAGACGATCTCTCACTGTCACCAGTCTGCAGGTTAAATGGATATCTGCTGTGCTTAGAGGAAAACGGTTGGCAACAGAGGCCTTGCATGGACATTAGATGAGTCATATGTCGAGTGCCAGGTGTGTGTGTTCACAGAGAGAGAGACACACACTTTTTAACTCCACAGCCTCCTGACAATCAGTCACTCTGATTGCATTATGCACTGCTGGGTGGGAGAGGAGATCCCACAGTCTCAGCTCCTTCACAGCTCCCTGTCTGAGAGTAGGAGAACTAGTCAAATGGATGATGGAGAAATGATAGGATCGGAGGGGTGGCGACGTTAAAAGGGATAGATTGGGGGGGGGGGGGGTAGAGGGGAGTGTGTGAGGAGAAGATGGAGACGGATGGAGAGTGGGTAGCTGGATGGGCACAAGAGCAGACTAATATATGGAGCCTGTGATTCTTTTTTAAAATTAACCAAAGGGGAAAGCCACAGAGATAATACATTGTGTCTTTTCATATTGAAGAATTTATCGCTGGCAGTATATGACTCGCTTCATTCCTACACGTTGTGTTAACAAGCGAGAAGACTTCAAAGCATACCTACCTTTGTGACAACCATCTTTTTAAAACATAAAACTCTACAACCTCCTTTTGCCCAAGGGTCCCTATTAAACCAAGGGCATGGTCAGTAGACTTCTCATTTTGAGTTTCTATAAGCAAAATTAACATTCATTTTCTGAGTAAGCAAGGCAAAAAAAGTACTTGGCTGTTCATTATGTTTGACAAAAGAATAATAGGTATACTAGTAATTTAGTTATCAACACTTAAAGAGGACATATTGTGTCGGTCATGTTTTTTGTGCTTCTAATGTGACATGTTTCCATGCTTTGATGTTAAAAAAGGCATTTTTCTCATACTGCCTGTGCTGCAGCACCTCTTTTCACCCTCTGTCTGAAACCAGAGCCTAGTTCGCTCTGATTGGTTTGCTGGCTCTGTTGTGATTGGTCAGACGCTTACAGATGTGTTGGAAATGTCCCGCCCCTAAGCCTATCAAGCGCATGTATGTGTTGGAGCACTAGCCAATAGAAGTGCGAGTGTTCAATAGTGATGTCATTATGTAACTTTATGGTTATGTAGATTCAGATAAAGTTTAGGTTTACT